AAAAAATTAGATACAGAATTTTTCCAATCACCTTTACGTGCGGTCGCAAAATCTTTTCTAAAATTCGAATAACCTTTTATAGCTTGCTTTAATAAAGAAAAATTGTAAATTTAAAGCATTAACATTCGGTTTATTACTTCGAGTGGTCATATTAGTCTCTCGCCGAGTAACTACAGGCGCGCGGAAGAAAATCCACCTCTTAGTATTTTTCGCTTTGAAAGTCGCTGGTGTGTGCGCCAGGAAGCAGCCGCGAACTAGCGCCTGCGCCACGTCCTCCTACACGGAAGTGCAGCAGCCCCACCATCGCAAGTACCACCCCAGTTTCGATTATCGCCCATCGTCACCATCCATCATCAAAGAGCCGCCGAAATCACCGCCAAACCCTCCACTATCGCCAAATCCCCATCATCGCCGGTGTCAACGGCCAACAGCAACGAATCGCCGCATCCTCACCAGCCTGCAATCGCCCACCAGCCCTCCGTCTGTCCACGTCCGGAGTTCAGCACCCAAAAGAAGAGCCGGCCCCCCTTACTATTGGTCCTTCGGCGCCAACAAAGAGCCGCACCGGTGGAATAAAAATCCATAACATCAAAGTACAAGTATCCCCAGCAAAACCGTGAGTAAAAATCAATTTTTTACTAATCCTGCGGTGAAACAAAAATTTTAAAAAGGCAGAAAATAATTCCTTGAATGTTTAGTAAACGCCAGCATTAAGTAATACATTTTCCCTTGCTCCGGCCATAAATTTTCAACTTTCCCGCCATATTTAAATTTTTCCCGCCAATTTTATTTTTTTTGCGCCAATTTTCACAAATTTTTTACCCACACAAAGACTTTTGCAAGAATACATATACATATGTACTTCACATAACATTCTGTAGCATACAAGCAAATAGTACTTGGCGTACATATATATATACAAATATACCAAAGCTCATAGTATATACAGCGGCTAATCAGTTAATCCCAAACAAACATACAAGGAATTATAGCTGGGAATACATAACTAACCCCTCGTTTAGTAATCCCTATATATATATATACACATACATTCATACACATACCCTATCATATATTGGGCATATGAAAGAAAGTGCTATATAAAATAGATAAAAATACGTACAGTGAACTCTCTATAATAACTACCCATAAAAAGGCAAGGCGGTTACAGTGCTCGGAAAAAGAAAATACAGTCCATTAGATAGATATTTATAAATTTTGCACTCAAAATATCTCCATTTGTGGTTTTCGTGAACAGGACCAAGCGTGAAAGTCCCAGATACGGTGATCCGAAATCCCTCATAAAGGCTTAAAAAGGTAAAATTATCTCGCTTATTACATTCAAATCCCACACCCTCTTGGTGTCCAGGTGCACACTTGTGATTCATACAAACTTTATTGTTTGCGACCGCCTAGTAAAACCCGATTGTATTTGATCACCCTCTCAGCCAACCTTAATCACTTTCACTCATTCGACTTCGAATGCTAGGTCTCACTAGCACTGAAGATAAGCCAAAAAGTCCCAGAATGAGCGAAGAAGAAAAAATTCTCGAGACCCCCGCGGAGTCTCAGGGCCCTACGCGATCAAGCGGAAAGCCAAATAAGGCAAAACAATCGGTCATCTGTACTAAATTCATATCGGAGACAGATAATTTGATGGATTACTATGCCCGATTCAGATCAGCCCCGATCGAAGAAAATACTGCGTCCGTATTGAAAATAAAAGACAAGAGCGTAGAAAACTTTTGGAATAGAGTTCAAAACGCCTTTGATTCGACTTTGGAAATTGAAGAACATGACCTCCCCGAAGACTTTAGGGCGTCTGCCTACAGTAAATATAGGTCATGTTTAATTATATATGAAGAAACAAAAGCCCAAATCGGAGACCAACTCCAGTTAGTAGCACAAACCATAAGTCCCACTCCCAAAGCCAGTTCATCACTTCCTCAGGAAACTTCGGGCATAAGCTTAAACGTCCCACCTTGCGACACCGAAACCTTTTATGGGGGTTATGAGCAATGGCCGTCCTTCCGTGATATGTTCACGGCGGTCTATATAAATCACCCTAAGCTCACTAAGGCGCAGAAGTTATACCATCTCAGGTACAAAACGCAAGGAAAAGCTGCCCAAATAGTTAAACAATTCCCTCTGAGTGACGATAATTTCGTGCTGGCATGGGAAGCACTAAAAGCTCGCTATGAAAACAAACGGGTTTTAGTAGATAACCAAATCCGTATCCTTATGAATCTAAAACCCATCCCAATTGAAAATAGCGAAGACATACAGAGACTGCAATCATCGGTGAATAACTGTCTCCAGATTCTAGGCACCCAGCAAGTCTCCACCGAAAGCTGGGATCCCATTCTGATCTACCTGGTTACCTCCAAGTTTCCTGAGAACACCATGGCCCTATGGGAGCAATCCCTCAGTTCCAGGAAAGACCTCCCGAACTAGTCCCAAATGAACTAGTTCCTCACTACTCGATACGAAAGGGTAGATCAATTCGAACATAAGCTACTCGAGGCCAACCCCTCCTAACAGTAGGTCATTCCCTAAACCCCCCACCTCTCTGAACTCTCACAACAACTCCTTTTCCCAAATCCGAGCGCTCATGACGGAACAACGCACAAAACCATACAAATGCCCAATGTGCAATAAACCTCAACACACTCTCTCTCAGTGCTCCAAGTTTCGTCAACTGCCAACTCAGGATCGCAGAAAGTTTGCGAGAGAACACAACCTCTGTTTTAATTGCCTATGTCAGATCCACTTGATAAAAGACTGCTCAAGTAAATATACTTGCTCTCATTGTCAAGAACGGCATCAATCAATTCTTCATGAAGACACGCCCCCCATGCCGCCAAGACAGCAGTCTCGAACCCAAAGAACGACATCTCAGGTCGCTCTGACGACGCCCACTAATTCCAACCCACAAAATTCAGCGGGGTCGGAAACAACTCATGAGGAGCCTTCTTCCTCAAATAGAGCAAGAGTACAGTCGTTCTACTCGGAAAATGACAGCAAGATTCTCCTTCCCACAGCAATGGGCCAGTTGAACACAGGGGCGAGATCTTCAAACTCAGAGCTCTCATAGATCAGGGTTCGGAACGAACTTTTATTTCCTCCAAAGCTCAAAACAAACTAAAGCTACCGTACCAAACTTCCAACTTTGAAATTTCTGGCATGGGAGGCAGAGTTGTTCAGACTTCGAACAAACTTTGCCATCTCATCTTAGCCCCCGCAGATTTGACCACGAAAATAAAGGCTCAAGCAATAGTACTATCCCAGTTAACGAAAATGCTTCCAAAATTCCAGCCAACTCTCGAACAACGAGAAAAATGGTCTCACCTCCAGCTAGCAGATACTAACTGCCACTCCTCGTCCCAAATTTATCTGGTCATTGGCAGTGACCTCATTTCTGAAGTAATGCTGGAAGGCAATGAGAAAATTTCGAAAAATTTGCTTGCACAAAACACCATATTCGGCTGGATCTTAAGTTGTCAATTTCCCGAAAAAATAGCCTGTTTCTCTACTCAAGCTACACCCATCTCCAATGAGGTTTAAGATTCCCAGCTGCGAAATTTTGGGAGCTAGAAGAGGTTCCGAAATCCAAGCTTACTACGCCTGATTATGAAAATTGTGAAAAATTCTTTCAGTCCACCACCACACGAGCAGCGGATGGTCGTTATGTAGTCAGACTGCCCTTTAAGCCAAGCTTCCCAGACCCTATCTCCCTTGGCCCGTCTCGCACACCCGCCCTCCAACAGTGCCTGAGCATGGAAAGAAATTTGCTCAGAAAAGGCGATCTAAAATCACTTTACGAAAATGTATTAAACGAATATCTCACTCTCAACCATATGGAAGAAACAACTTCCCACGAGATATCTTCTCAAGGCAAATGTTGGTCGTTCTACCTCCCACACCACGCGGTTATAAAACCCGAAAAAAGAAAGACCAAAGTCCGAGTCGTCTTCAATGCTTCGAAGAAATCGGGGTCCGGACATTCCCTGAACGGACCAACCCTCCAGCCCGACTTGATGTTATTGATCCTCAAGTGGCGTATGTATCGATTTGTCTTTAACGGCGATGTCGAAAAAATGTATCGACAGATACTGCTGCACAAAGACGACCAAGACTATCAACGAATCGTATTTCGACCATCTACAAATAGCCAAATACAAGATTATAAGTTGAAAACTGTCACGTTTGGTTTGAATTGCGCACCCTACCTCGCTATACGTACCCTTCACCAGCTCGCAGATGACGTGCAAACCACACACCCCTTAGCGGTGCCCATATTAAACAATGAAACGTACGTTGATGATATACTTTCCGGTGGTCATGATCTCCCTTCAGCCGAAGAATCCCTCTCTCAAGTCATCCAAGCGCTCAATTCGGCAGGCTTCCCACTTAAAAAGATTACAGCCAACCACCCTGAAATTTTGAAAAACATACACAAAGACGATCTGCTTGACACAAACTTCCTAGAATTTGAAACAGTAAGCACCACTAAAACGCTCGGGATTCAGTGGAACGCTCTAACCGATACGTTTTCGTACACCGTTGATTCCATCCCAGCGTCATCCGCCAGTACAAAACGACAAATCCTCTCGGCAGTTGCCAAATTGTTTGACCCCGCAGGATGGCTTACGCCCATAATGATCCAAGCCAAAATCCTGCTACAAGAACTATGGCTGGACGGAACTAACTGGGATGACCAGGTCAAGCCCCTCCGTCTGACGAAATGGATGCAATTTGCAACCAATCTCCAAGCCATTTCTAGCATCCAAATACCCCGATGGGTAGATTTTGTCCCCGCCGACCAAGTCGAGCTACATGGCTTCTGCGACGCTTCCGAGAGAGCATACTGCACTAACATATATGTGCGAACCACGAACGGTAGTAGGACCTCTTCTCATCTGCTGGTCTCCAAAGGCAAAGTAGCGCCTCTCCGAACCACCAGTTTACCCCGACTTGAGTTGTGCGGCGCCCTTCTCCTAGGGAAGCTGGCCGCCGTAGTGCAGTCTCAACTCGACCTCTCTAAGAGGAAACTGATACCATGGTCTGACTCCGAGATCGTCTTGGCATGGCTAGAAAAACCCCCTCATTCATGGAAAACCTTCGTTTCCAATCGCACGGTACAAATTTTAGATCTCGTCGGAAACGCCACCAGAGCCGAAAGTCGGCGACTGCGTTCTGATTGTTGACAATACTATACCTCACATTGAATGGCGTTTAGGCCGTATCGAAAGGTCACACCCCGGCAGAGACGGACATATTCGATTTGTCGATGTGCGCACCCAATCTGGCATAGTTAAAATATGCCCGTTGCCAATGGGTGACGCCCCTCTGACTTCTCCAAATGCGCCATAATTAAAGCCTTTAAGCACTTTCATGACAACATACTCTCTTAGCTCATATGTATTTAAAAACCTGTATATGAATGAAATATTCTGATCCCACGTTTCTTCAATTGTCTTGTAGACTCCCCACTGATAGTCTAACTTCCACGGCTTACTTACAGATGGATACTTGCAGCAGCAGTGGCACTCCGAAACCAGTACCTCGAACATCGCTACAGCCTAAGCAACCGCAGCGGTCCGACGTAGGCATGACGACTGACACAACGCCAGCGGCGCAGCCAGAAGAGGAAACCACCGATTTCAATCGATGCCGTCTGTGCGCACGACATCACGCGTTGCGGGTATGCCAAGTGTTTCGCGCAATGCAGCCGACCCAACGTTATCTGGTCGCATGTGCACACAAATTTTGCACCAACTGCCTCGCCTTATCGCATCACAGCAAGGACTGTCCCTCCGCTGGAATCTGCAGGCTATGTGGTCAGCGTCACCATTCCCTACTTCACCGGAAGACGGCACTTAGCAAAAACTCTCTGCAACACCACGCTCCAGCATCGCGCAAAAGGCCTTCCGCACATCGTCCCCACCGTCTACGCCGTACTGCACTCAGCTCTCACAAGCACAAGCACCCGCATATGAGGCAAAGAGCGAAGAAAATCAATACCACCACCCAGGGAATCCGCATCACCAAGGCGAATGGAAAGCTGTCCAGGAAATTGCTCCGAAATGCAATACGTAAACTGCGGGAGCTAGAGAACAGTATAGTCGCTTAGCGCGCCTAGGTGCGGGAGAATAGTTAAACGAGAAACGTCTGTCGTTTAACACCTTGCCACGCATATGATTATTACCTGAATTAATGCGAAATTTCTTCAACAATTGAATTACTCAAACTTTGTAAACATATTTTCCTTCATTGAATTGTTAATTCTAAAAGTTAGATCATTTCAAAATTGTTAACACTAAACTTGAGTTATTCAAAAATGTTAAGCCTTACATTCTTATGCCTTGAATTGATAAATTTGAATTTACATGTTTTGCGCTATTCAAATTAATATCCTCTATATTTTCTCATATTGAATTGATAAGAATTGTTAACCCTAAACCTAAAGAAATTTTCATATTGAAATGCATAGTTGGCAACAACAAAGTCGCTAATACAGTGCAAGCAGCAAATGTCAAAAGGAGAGACAAAAAA